CGGTTTTTAGTTGAGAGTCAAAGTTTGGTACTTGTTGCCAACAAAATGTCAGACTGGTCTCCATCAGTGCTAACCTTTGTCAGAGGCTCTATTCATAACTTTTAATGGGCTGAATTTCTTAGCATATCAAAGAAGCGTAGGGTGTCAGATTCAGTGGACTCATCTCTGCTTTTTGCAGATGATGTGATTCTCTTAGGTGTATCAGGTGGTGACCTCCACTTAGGCTACATCCACACTAATGCGTTTTCGTTTGAAAAAGCATTGTTTTCTCTCTGTTTGGGCCTCCCGTCCACACTGAGACAACGTTTTCGCTGATGGAAAACGCAGCATTTTGAAAACGCTCCCGAAAACACATACATTTGAAAACGGTGCTCGCGTCGCAGTGAACAGGAGTTTTTGAAAACTATGACACATTTTAGTCATGTGATGCAGTCAAGTGACCAATTAAACTTATATACAAGGGCATTATACAGCAGTTGTTTTGTTTGCTCCCAGTTTTGACAGCCCTATCAAAGATTAATATCAGTCTGTACATGCTTCAGATAGCTTTTCCTCAAATTCTTTAATTCTCACTCGCTTTTGCAACTTTGTACTTTTGTGTTACTCGCAGCAACAACTCCACCTCATTGTTAGTCCATTTAAAAAACTCGGTGCTTTTCCTCAACATTTTGCTGCGACATTTCAAAGAGCTGGAAAGTAAAGAAGCGGCAGACAGAAATGAGGCAGGTCGAATAGTCTCCCGTTTCACGCATGTGCAGTACTGGAACGTAAGCGTTTTTGGCTGTTTCAATGTGGACGCACAATTCTGTGAAAACGACTGAAGTTGATGGTGTGGACGCGGAGCGTTTTCAAATCTATCCGGTCTAGTGTGGATGTAGCCTTACTCTCAGGTGGTTTGCAGGTAAGTATGAAGCACTAGGATGGGAATTAACACCTCCAAGTCTGAGGAAGCCGGTCCCAGCTGGAAAAGGGTGGAGTGCCTACTCTGGGTCAGGGATGAGTTGCTGCGCCAAGTGGAGGAAATCTCAAGATCTCAAGGTCTTGTTCACAAGCGAGAGGAGAACAGGGTGGGAGAATGACAGAAAGATCTTGTACAGGTGTGTTGTGAAGAGAGAGCTTAAGATAAAAGCTAAGCTATTGAACTACAAGGATCAAACTGTGGTCATGAGTGACTGAATAAATACGACTGTGTTTATTAGTGGTTGAAATGAGTTTCCTCTGAAAGGTGTCTGGGCTCAGACCTATAGGGTGCAGAGTTCGGTGCTTAATGCTCAGTGTAGAGCTACTGCTCCTCTTCATTTAAAGGAGCAACCTGAGGTGGTTTGGATGCCTCGTGGATGCCTAATAGGTCAGGTCCTGTCTGGTGTTTATAAATAAAATAAAAAAACAGCAGGAATAATATTTATATTGAAATGAGTGAAACCTCAGTGATACCAGAATCAAAGGACGGTAAATAAGCTGTTAAGTAATAATGTGAAAATTAAAAAAAGTGTGTGCAATAATTTTTTAAGTTTGCCTTGATATTACTATAATAATAGTTTTCATTATTCACTACAATTTCATTAATCACACAACTAAATTGCTCTTCTGGTTTTTAAATTTATTTTATTTGCTGCTGACAGTAATTTATTCTCGGGGTCCCCAGAGACTTCAGTTGGTAGTCTCTGATATGTAAATATTTCAGTATTAACATTCTTTTCGGGATTATGATTTTTTGTCATAGTCCTTAATATTATCATTATGAGTTTAAAAATAAATCTAGAAACTTCCCACTCACTACCGAGCAATGTTTAAATTCTTGTGCATCCACACATTTGATACCACCTGTAAGAGAGCACAGGGCTGCACACCAGCGAGAAAATCAAGCCTAGTTGTGTTTTTTTTCCACTGTGGAAGAAAATAAACTCTATTCCTGGTTCACCACAGTGTCCTGTGCCACTTGATTCTTTAAAGAAAATGCTAACAACGCCCCTGCACAGTTAGTTGTGATGTTAGATTTTTTTTTGTTTGTTTTTTATGCAGTTGAGCAATAACGAATTAATTTGAAAACAAAAGCACTTGAAGGAAGTCGTATTAATGGCTAATAACCGGATTAATAACCGGAAATAAGTGCATTTTTAAAAGGTTTTGACGCAGGAAAAATACATTACCGGCATTTTAATTTTAATAATTTATTTATTTTTTCCTTTTTTTTTTTCTTTCGCACTTTTGTTAGTCTATCAAGAGGTCAGACACGGTTAGCACTGTGTTCTCGTCGTTTTGACGCAGGTGGAAAAGACATAGATTTGCATTACGGGAAAGGCCGTTGTTGCCACGTGCAACCAGCACGCGCAAACGTGGAGAGTTGAAGATAAATGGACTTTTCACGCACACTTTGGGAACTCTTATCGCATTATTCCCAAGCAGGAAACTGATGAATGTTAGCAGTAAGGTGAGCCGTTAAAATGTGTTTCCGTTGTATGGACGAAACATTAAATTTTAAACCACTGACACGCGCGTCTCCGTTCATTTAATTATGTATTTATTCATTTCTCAGTGATGATTTCCCTTTTTCTGGCCTTTCGGCTGAAAACCTGAGGCGTCACAGTTCTTATTATTTTAGTGTTCGTGTGATTTTAATATGTTGACAGCTTTTCAACGAATACAATTAAGAAAACAGAGTAAATAAAATAGGAAAACGCAGATAAATACAGCAGCGGGCCCTAAAAGCTGCAGTCAGACATGATTTATTGGCGCGCTGGGCGTTCGTGCGCAACCGTTTAAATTAGACCGTAACCCCGCCCCGGTTTGTACTTAAACACAGCAAAAAAATTAGATAAATTAGATGTTATAATAATTTAATATTGTCTAATAATTTTAATCCGTGTAAAATGCTGCATTTGTTTTCAGTCTGGAGGAGGAAGGTTGATTCGTTTCTATTTAAAGCGGACTCCGGGCCGGGCCTCCTTTGTCACAGGTGAGTTTATTCTTTACGAAATATTTAAGTCGTCTTCAGAATAACATTCATTTTAATGCTGCTAGATTAAATGCATTCAAAATAGCTACTGGATCGGCCTGTCAGCAATAAAATAGACTTATAGTTTGGGCTATTGTCTTTCAACAAATAGTTAGAAAATTATGCTTGTTGAAGATTTTTGTTCCCAGATTTTTTAAATACAGGAAAAGCACGTGGTTAAAATTTTATTTTTGTGTGACTGAGGTCAAAGTTTGGCTTTATTTGTTTGCATCAGAGTGACTGTTCAGTAGATGAATGAAGTCAGAGGGTGCTTTCCCTCATCACCTCCTGACTCCACCCCCTCCACCCTCCTCACACACACACACACACACACACAGACACATGCACAAGCTCAGAGAGTGGAGGGAAAAGAGGGCTACTCCTCCTCACTCCTCCTCACTCCTCTTTCTCCATTCACAGAGAAAGCTCTGAGCTCCTTCTTGAATGGACCCCATCTCTCCGAGCCAAAACTTGCTTTCTGCTGTTGTGGACGAAAACTGAAGATCACCACTGATCAATCTGTCTGTTTTTTTTTTCTTCTTTTTTCTTCTTCTTTTGCTGAGAAACTTGGCTGCAGAGACTGTGCTGTGTCGCCATGAACTTCTGTACTTCTGTCAGACTTGATGACTTTCCAGAGCGCCTGTGTGTGGTGTCGTAGACGACTGATTCAGAGAAGAGCTGAGAAAAAGAAGACGTACTCCTTAAAGTGACTGAAAGACTCCCAAGGATTAAGAAGGTGGACACAGGGAGACGGATCGAATTTAAAAATAGCCTTCCTTTATCCCAGTTCTCTCCCCTGGACCGCGATGGGCTCAGATGTACGCGACCTAAACTCCCTGCTGCCCCCGGTCCCGGCGGGCCCCAGCCCTGGCTGCCCGGCCCTTCCCGTCAGCACGGCCCCTCAGTGGGCTCCTGTCCTGGACTTCCACACCGCCCCCTCCCCTTACACCTCTCTGGCTGCTCCCCACTCTTCCCTGGGGGCGCACTCCTTCATCAAACAGGAGCCCAGCTGGGGGGCCGCTGGTGACCCCCACCACCACGATGCAGATCCCCATTGCCTCAGTGCTTTTACCGTCCACTTCTCGGGGCAGTTCACGGGGACTGGGGCCTGCAGGTACGGTGCGGCGTTCGGGGCACCACCTCCTCCGCCAGCCCCGAGCCAACCGCCACCCGTAGCCGCCCCGCACCACCACCAGCCCCCCAGCAGGATGTTCAGCAATCCGCCATACCTGACCAACTGCATGGACACGCAGCAGGCGGCCCGCAACCAGACAGGTAGGGTATGAGTCTGGGTGTTAGAACATCACCAATTTAACTGTCAATTCTTTCACAAGAACTTTTGACAGATGCAGCTTGAAGTCTTGGTATCATTTTTTTTTTATCATTCAATTCAACATAAATCTTTTCTACTTTCTGCAGAAGGTGCTTCAGAAGGTGAAGGTCACTTTTCTATAACTTAGCACATTTTCTTTTACAAATTTTACCCCCTGTATATGCATCTGAAGTTCTCTGACAAATCTGTCAGTCATTAGTACATCACCAAAAATGATTTCATGTGGTTTAAACCAGCTGACGTGTTCCTTCTCTGGCTCGAAATCTTGGCTCGGCCTGATACGACCAAGCACGTTACAAACATTGACATCTTCTTAAAAGCACACACAAGTTGTAGAAAGGCGATCCAGCTACTCTTACACAAGACTCCTGTTTGTTTCTGAAAAGGTGGCGTTAAAAGCATTCGAGCTGTAGGCATTAATGTTTAAGCCACAGATGTGTGTCCTGTGCAAACGGCCCATTAAAAGATCACATCCATGAACTTCTTTGGATCTGATCTTGCTTTTAATCGCAGTCACTGAATTTTTTAAATAGGGTTACAGTAATTATGATCATTCTTTTCTTTTGTGTCTGACGCCCTTATAAACTAATTTTTGGAAGGTTTACTTTTTATATAAAATAACATGTAATGTGTTACTCATAATATAGCTCTGAAAATATCATAATTCCAGGTGCAGTGCTTCATATGAAATTTTATATAAAATTACCGTTTCATACTTTTTAAGGTAAATAAAATTTTGTCTGAAATGTTTTAATTCATTTACAAAATCTGATTGTCAAGCACAACAGTATTTTGGTCTAATAAATGTCAAAGATTTGGCAATTGTAATTTATAATTCTTTAAACATCTGCTTAATGTGTAATAAATGCATGACTGCAGCAACGTGCATCAGCATGATCCACTTATAATTAAATACGCCACTGAGTTAGTTCGAATTCGTAATTTCTGCCATTGGAGTCGAGGGTTTTTCACATCTCAGCTTAGTCCTGGTTGTTTAGATTTAATTTCAATTTGTGTTTTATTCGGAGAACAAAAACACTTTTCTGTTAACATCTTTAAACATTTTTCCATTATTATTTTCACGTTCGCATGTAAATTATATAAAGTTTCATTTTTTTCTGTGAATTTTTCTGTGAATTATGTTCACCTGAACCACGCTTTGTGCATCATCTCATTTAACCAGTAAAATCCGTCATTTTAACCAGACTAGAGTTCAGTAATTAACAATGAGCTGAACCGTGTCCAAAGTCAACAGTGGAATTCATACCTTCTGAGTATCACACCCTAAACTCTTGTTTTTGTAAATGTTCATTTCAGGCAGAAAAATTCATCTGTTAGTGATTACCCAACTGATTAATTAGTAATAACGTGCTTATCAAGCAGATCGTTTAGGAATAACACAGCAATCAAAGCGCCAAGCCGACCTCTAACCTGTTTTTATCTGCTCCCCGCTGTGGCTGGATGAGCACAGACAAACAAACCAACAGCAGGACTCGGGTCACACAGTAGAGCGTGATAGCACAGTGGGGTCACACAGGGACCATCACACACACACTCACACACACACCGCTTTTCTGTTTTTCTGTCATGTTCTGACATTTTTGTGTGATTTGAACAACAAAACAAACAAAAAGTAAAATAAATTTTACCAAAACACTTCAACTTTACAGCACAACTTTTACTGTACTTATTGCCATATATTTAACCTTTAGATAACACATAAGTACATACTGACGATCACCTAATATGTAAAGCTGATTTCCACAATCATCCATTTGAAGATTTATTTACAACTCTGAGTATTAAAAAAGAAGAAGACAATATGGGGTATTTCCAGAGTTTTCCAGCTGACCTCATCTCTTCTCACCTCAGTGCTAGACTTCAAGGAGGCAACAAAAATGTCCCAATACATGGATGAACACACACACGCTCAAACATATGCAGCGAGAGAAAACTCAGACAGGGAAGAAGACAAATGGAGATGTTTAATGAGTTTTTTTCTCGTCCCCCTCCGCCTCTCCTCTCAAGCACCGATTTACAGGGTAAAGTCGGTGAAAGTGCTGTATTTTAATTAATGAGGCGTGCATGTGAGAGATAATGTGTGTGTGCGTGCGTGCATGGGTGATTTATGGCAGTGTGTCGTGCCCTTTAGGCCAGTCTAAGTCATGAGTCAGGTCTAGTCTGGGGTGTCGGGCACGGATCTCTCTCAACAGAAGTCGGTGTGTTTGAGTGTTTCTTTGGGTTTTTTTTTTTATAAAACTAAATTTATTCAAACTGAACTCGCAGTTTAACTGTGTGCATATTATGCCAGTGGTGAAAATAAGATTAATCGAATGGAGAATAAAGTCATAAATGAGGCTAATTCAAATTTTCTGTAACTTTATAAAAAAAAAAACGAGTAAGGGAAGCTTAAGGTGTAACATTTAACATGTCTCATGTTTTATGTGTAGAAACAAAGAAAAACCCAGAAAATCTTCTTCACCTCCTTTTTTCACTGGTTTTATCATAACTTGAGTGATTTATTTTCATCTTTTAAAGCAGAGAAAATACATAAATACAACCCAAGTGCCCGAGCTGGTCCTCTAGATCATAGTCTGGCCTGCAACGTCCTAAAAAGTGGAAAAAATGAATAAATAATAATTGACATAATTATATTACTGAATCTCAAAATCTCAAAGTAGGATGATTGCAATGAGTCTGTACTGCTTTTTAACGTATGTGTGCAAAGCAAAATTTTCTCTCGCCTTACACTGATGCGTGAACATCTCTGCCCGCTTCACATTTCATGACTTTGGCTGACTTTGATGGTCTTCATCATAAATGTTACCTTGATCTTTTCCTCTTTTAGCGATCTGTGCTGCAAGACTGTCAATAATAAAAGTATCAGCGTTGATGTTCATGAAAATGAGCATCATGTATGATCACCGTTTCGTTCAGTGATGCACTCACCTTTTGGTGGCATTTTTTAGTCTATATTCATTTTGCTTGTAGCAGGATATATGCTGAAATGGTCATTTATGAGGATTTTTTTATTAATCTTATTTCTTCATCGCAAAAACAAGAAAAAGGAATTTTTTTAAATATAGAAAATTCTTGTTTTTAATCATGAAGGCCTTGTTGTGATAATCTTATGAGTTTATTATAAGTCGTTTGTTCTGCATGCAGCTCTTTGGTTACTTTACCTTTATTACCAGATTCACAAATGCAGCTATGCTGTTGTATTTAGTTTCATGTCATCGTGTTTCACTGTTATGGATTTCCGCCTGTTTTTATGTATTTATTTTTCTTTCTGTGTTGCAGGTTACAGCGCAGTTGCATTCGATGGAGCCGGTAATTACGGTCACACTCCTACACACCACAGCTCGCAGTTCTCCAACCACTCCTTCAAACATGAAGACGCTTTAACTCAGCAGAACACGATGGGTATGTGCGAGTGTGGCTTTCGGCGTGCCGACGCGCCCTGTGAATTCAGTCTCTCCTGATAAATGTCTCAGCATGTAAACAGGAGTTTTCTTCCTGAGATTCATTAATCAAAATTTTTTGTTTTGCTTAAGTAAGTTAATTTCATTCTAACTATTTATAGTTAAAATATTTAAAAACCTCTTAGGTTCTCTAAACCCCCCCCCCATATTAATATATGTGCTCAAATGGTAAAAAAGTTTTTTGTTTGTTTTGGTGTCTTTTAGTCTTCTGAAATAAACAGACTTATATATATATATATACACACACATATATATCTCCATTTGCAGGGAATTGCAAGGGAAATTTTTAATGACTCATAGTTGTTACACTTGCTGTTTTTTTTTTTATTAATCACAATTATAATTTTTACAAATAGTTTTGTTGCAAGCTTATACCAAAGCACATAGTTACATAGTTGCTGCTTGTCTTTTGCCTTTGTAGGACAACTGCTCAGATAACATTTGTGCAGATCCAAAAATGCATTATTTTTCCATCTTTCTCAAAACAACAATGCATCAGAGTCTCTGCCAGTTGGAACAAAAATAGACGTTTCAGTGCGTTTTAATTCTGTGTGAGTGCACAGCTGTGTGTATGGCAGCCCAAAGGCCCTCACCTAGGGAGTGTCTTGTCCCCTATTCTGGTCCCTCGGCCCTGACCTTGCATGTCAGAGGTATAAATCAGCCACATCCTGACTGACAAACCCCTTTCATCCACCCACTTCTGTCTTTAATCCCTCCCCTCTGTATGGTATTTGTAAATATTTAAATAGGGGTGTTTTGTGGACCCGGAGCTGTAAATTTTCAATGATTTTTACAGCAAAGATTACGCCGGGAATTAGAGTAGAGAGAGGGATTTTTCAGAAATGTCAAGGGAGCCGTTGACAGAGAGAGAAAGATCTTAACATTTGAAGAAATCTGGGGGAAAAGAGAGACCACAAAAGAAACACTGCTGAGGAATTTAACCTTCACATTATGTCTTTTTTGTTGTTGCAAAAGCCATATTTTTTTTAATGTATAACTACCCACATTATATACTGTATTGTGCATCTGTGTGGGCATTATAGGTGAGCAGCAGTATCCTGTACCTCCTCCTGTCTATGGGTGTCACACACCTTCAGATAGCTGTACGAGCAGCCAGGCTCTGCTTCTGAGGAACCCTTACAACAGGTAACACTCACATGCCTCATGCACTGCAGTGCGCACCCACCAAAATCATCAAATCTATTTTTACACCAAACTATCAGCAGCAATTAAATCTGGAAATACTTCAGAAACCATTGTTGATTGTTTTTGTGTTGCACTAAATTCAGTGAAAGGTAGCAGGATGCAGTTCTTAACAGGATGTTCACCTTCAGGACAGGTCTGCCTGCCATTGCAGTTTCCTTCTTTGCTTTTGTTCTGCTTCCTTTAGCAGCTTCTTGGTTGTTTCAGTTTTTGTGCACCCATTAGAGTATTTAAGTATTCCTCAAGTGATGTGAAAATCCTCAGTGTATGTATCGTCGTGACTTTGTGTAGATTAGTCCGTAAGTAACGGTGTTAGGACGTTCAGAAGGAAAGCATGGGCTGATTTACTGATTGTTTAAAATAAAGAAAGTCCTTTATGCTTATTCTGTGAGGATAATTGTCAGTGATTTACTGTCTACCTTTCTGGGGTTTTAATTGCTGTGAGACACTCTGGTGTTTCCTCTGAAGGACAGATGACGTCCAAGCAGAATTCGTCATAAAGTGCAGTTACATTGTGGCAAGATGCGAAAAGGCTGAGCTTCTTTCGTAAGATCCTCTGGTTCTAAATTTGCGACTGTTCTGACATCATCTTGCAACATTAGCGGGAGTTTTTGATTCAAACAGCGCAGGGCTTTGTGCTTTTATAATGCCTTGCAGAGTGATCTACATTAATCTTTACGATATGAATCAGCTCATGTTGATACAGCGCTTACATTTAAGTTAAAACTGTTTGTTTCCATCCAATAAAAATGAAAATGAAGAAAATAAAGGAAATGTCTTCACTGACAGCAGACTGCTTCACATAAGGTTAAATCACATTAAGCCATTTTCCAAAAGCAGTGATTTGCTGCAGTAGATGAATGACTGGAACACTAGAAATATTTCCACTCAACAAGCCGCTGAGATGAACTGAAGCTATAAGCCTGTTTTCTTGTCATGAAACTCCACCGATGGTTGATGGCCAGTTTACCTTCTTTCATTGCTTTCCTAGTGGGCTTTGCAGCATTTAATGAAAGGACTTTTTAGCAACAGTGCGCAAGACTCGCTTTTCACTTTAGATTAGATGAGCTGTCCAGTGTGACGTCTAAAACACGACTGGTGCAGTGACTTTTTTACCCAGTAGTTCCTTGTGGGACCCTGACAGGTCTCAGCACACTGTAGTTTGACTTGGAAGTTTTGTATTTGTGATACCCATGGTGACTGTGGTCACACCTATAATCAATTTGACAAAAGTACCAAGAGAAAAAAAGCTTTTTCCCCCTGTTATTTATGGGTGTCAGTAATAATGTTCTGTAGCTTCTCCTGACTGAGTCGAGTCTAAGTGAATATTGGTTGAAACTTGCTCTTATGTTCCAAGTAAAGACAGAAAATAAGAAACTTAACAGCTGGGGAAAAATCAAGCTCTTCCATGATTATCTTGGTTATAGTGGTGAAGATGGAAAATGAGAAACGTGCTGCCAACATGTCGTGACAAAGCATGAGCACATTCTGAGTTTAGAGACCTTGTCTTCAACTATATGGATAAAAACACTGGGCCACCTACACTTTGCTATGGCTGCTGCCATGAAGCTTCTGGTGCACAGTGTTTGTACTGATGTTAATGCCAGAGGAGGTTTGAGCACCTCGGCGCTCAGTGACCTCACCCTGTAACGTTGACTGCTGTTGCCGTGGTCGCTAAACGCTTCACTTTGCAGTAATACTTATAATATTTAGGGGGAAGAAACTTCATAAACTGACTTGCTGCTACGCTCACTTCCTATTTCAGTACCACACTTGAATTCAGTGAGCTCTTTAGAACGACCCATTCATTCACAGTTGTTTGGCTGACTGCGTGGCCAGGTGTTTGATTTTATACAGCTGTGGCAATGGGACTGAAAATATCTGAATTCTAAGATTAGAAATTTTCTGTCCAATATCAATACTCTATTTGGTATGTTTTTACATACCAAGTGTGCAATTTTCTGCATGTACATATAGTGAGTCTGCTCCTCCACCAACAAGTATTTCACCTTCAGCCACACCCAAACTTAACCTTTAATCCCATCCTTTACTCCCTCACTCCACCCACATTCCAGAAATAAAAATATTGCCTAGTTTCTTAAAAATGTAGCCATTGTGCCCATTTTGTACCTGATAATTTACTGCAATTATTGTAAGTCGGATTAGTACAGAAAAACAAAACAAAAAAATGGATGTTAATGTAAGTATTCCACAAGCCTTCACCACACAGAGCTACCTGTGCAGCTCTTTTACAGATGCATTTAAAAACTAGCGGCAATAAGCTTCCTCTGAGGTTATGAACCATTTTTAGTAGGTATGTCTCCTGGCTGTGTGCTCGCTAAAGTTTTTCTTGTTCTGATTTCTAAATATAACATTCTTCACATGCCATTGCTTCAGTGTTCCCCATCGATGGACCAACGTAATAAATTCTCTGTGAATATCACAGCAGGGAAAGTTGTGTGAGAGAGAGACGTATGGTCATAGGCTGTCCTCAGAATCTCCCTGTGAGGGACGTCTTAATCATAAACATAACTGATATCCACTCTCATAGCTGGGAAGGCTCATATGAGTCAGTGGTCTAATCTCACAGCCTGGTACCAACAGGCCTGTATTTACTCTGCAGGCTGCTGGAACAACATGAAATAAAAACACGGGCCTTATTAATGCATACAGGCAGGGGGGCACTCTGGTTTTTATCAAAGTAAAAAAGAGTACGAGTTGTATGAAATCGCACACCATGTTCTGAACAGTTGCTGTAATCTTTGAGCTGCAAACAAATGCTCAGGCTCTTCTTGGACGTAAAGGAAATTTGGCAATTTGCATAGAATTCCAAACTTTTGTGTCCTCAGGAGTCATTTCACTTCTCACATGGAGTCGGTGCATGTGGAGGGGGTGGCAGTGGGCCACTCTTTGCATATTCAGTTATTCGGTTTGCTCAGGCAGATTTTGTTTTTTCATCTCACCGAAGCACGATTCACAGTTTGTCTGAACCATTTTCAGATATGTCTGGAAATCCCCTCCTTCTGACACCTTTGAAATACAAGCTCTTTTTGCACTCGTTACTTAAATGTTTATGGCAATTTGTATCTGTATAGCTTTTTGCAATACAATGTCTCATTAGGCAGATTTGTTGCACTGATAAGGGGCGACCGTGGCTCAGGGGGTTGGGAAGCATATCTGTAACCGGAAGGTCGCCGGTTCAATCCCCGGGCTCTCTGTCCTGGTCATTGTGTCCTTGGGCAAGACACTTTACCCTACTGCCTACTGGTGTTGGCCAGAGGGGCCGATGGCACGATATGGCAGCCTCGCTTCTGTCAGTCTGCCCCAGGGCAGCTGTGGCTACAACTGTAGCTGCCTCCACCAGTGTATGAATGTGAGAGTGAATGAATAGTGGCATTGTAAAGCGCTTTGGGTGCCTTGAAAAGCGCTATATAAATCCAATCTATTATTATAAGCCGATATGATTATTAGTGGGATGAATGGATGCTTTTAAAGTTACTGTTAGGTTTTTATGACTGTCCAGGTTTGACTGTTAGTTATGATGGTTAAAGAGGCTTGATATGCATTACTGCCATTGTTGCGAAGACAGCATGAGTGGATGTTTTGTTGAGTGCTTCATGCTGAGTTCCACTGACATCCACTTCACTGAGATGGAGGCAACATTTCAACAGTTCAGTTCTATGTTGTTCAAACTGCGATCACCTTTATTAATTTACCCCTTCAGATCATTTTATCTTCTTGGATGCATTTGTTTTCTACTTTTCAACATAAAACCTAGATTCACAGTCACTTCAGTTTATTATTTTAGCCTAGACAAATCAGCCAAAGTGTCTGTATTGTGTCGGAAGTGGGAAAAAGTTGGATTTGTACATCCCTATCCAAAAAGCCTGCCTACATAGTTATTATCAAAATTATAGATATTTGGTAATTGTGCTGTTTTTGATCCTCTGTGGCACTTCTTGAGATAAATTCTCTGTTTGTTTATTCTGAAGAAAAGATCAATTCTTTTGTAGGTTAACTGTGAAGTGGAGGGTTTTTCCAGGAAACACCTGCTGTAACACACGCTGGGTGTTACGGCAACAACAAAAAAAAGGGGGAGGGGACCGATAATGGTCATAAAATAGATGGTCAGCAATGGATCCAGTGAGAGAAGAAAAGCAGACATATTTATTTGAAAATGTCATGGATAGCGGCTTTAAATCTTGCTCTGAACCTCCATCCCAGCAGTATTTCAGCAGATATACCATTTGGCCCAGCTGGCCGTGTGCCCCTGTTGTACTGTAAAATAATAGCTGTGTAACGAGCACGGTACCAGGCACCACATCTACCCCATCCACACTGCTATGTGCCTGCAGGTGGTGTAATAGAGGGACTGTGGTGTTAGGGGTGAGAGCTATAAATCCATTGTGTGTGTGTGTGTGCACGTGAGGTATTTAAACGCATGGCAGCTCTGAATAATGATTCTCGAGTCTGCCGTGTTTAATGAAAGATGGCTGTAATGAGATAATTTGGCTCTCTTGGTGTCCGAGGAACATTTTTTAATCTCAGCTCCACCTGTGACTGTGGGTGTGTGTGTGTGTTGGCATTTTTCATTAGCGTGCTTCTACAGCGGACGACAAAAGCGAGTGAATACACACACACATACACCCAACCGTGTCCTGGTGCTTGACAGTCCACTGCACAGCTCATGAGCTTTTCTTCTACATTTTGTCTTTCCTCCACAGCGGTGAAAATTTATATCAAATGACCTCTCAGTTGGAGTGTGTGGCATGGAACCCTGTCAATACACTGGCATCCACCATAAAGAGGTAGGAACTCATCCATCGCTCTCTTTAAGCAGCAGGAGTCTGTCAGGTTTGGGCTGAATAGGACAGTGGGTCATGTGAAGGGAAGATTAGGTCGAAGAGAGTGAGCAGACTCATTTTTTTTGGAACAGCAGCGGCAGTTTTCAGCGCTGAAAGAACATCTTTAGTCTTTCCCACCTGCTGCGTCGCTGTGATGTAGAGTTTGAACAAGCTGGTAAAACACACGCTTCAATTTGGTTTTTAAGGTTTGAGGTACTGCTGCATGGACGGCAAGACACTGGGTTCAAACTCATGTGCTCATTTGTTTTATCTTAGCATGTAAACAACGCAGCAACCACTTTCTCTGTGATTTAGAAGGACGCCAGTTTTGTAGGACGTTTGTTTAAATAGCATAAGTTCCCACAACATACACCAGCCTTACTTAATTCAAATGCTACATCTATTCTTCCTGTTACCAGAGACATTATAAAAGCGAGATGTGCCATTGAATAGGATTTGCAATCAAATTTTTAAGCAGTTTTCAAATTTAACTGGTGATTCTGTTCATGCTGCTGTCAGGTCCCAGTGCCCGGAGGTTTTATCAGTATGACAGCAGAATGGCAAGACGTGCTTCTGTCAGGACTTTGCCTTTGTTATTACTAATATAAATAGCAGGAATAGTTACTTTTTGCTATACTATAACTTATAGTACTAGAAGTATTGTTCCAAATGGAAGTGCATCTACTACTGAGCAGGTAAGAACATTCATTTAAACCACTGATCAGCCACAGCATTAAAGCCGGTGAGCAACATTGATCATCTCATATCACTTATTAGTCAATTGATCGCCGTCTGTCCTTTGCCTAACTCAGCAACCATTGATCTGATCACTGTACTTCAGACTGGTGCTCTTTTTCAGTGGGGGTTGTCTGTGTTGCAGATCAAAATATTCAAAAGCAAAAGTTCAAAAGTTGCCTTGATATTAATACAGATGTTACCCTGTGGTAGCCCCCCTCCGCGACCCTGATAAGCAGAAGAGAATGGATGCATATTTAGAGAAGATGATTGTTGGCTGATTGTTGTTTAGAGGTTAGATTTAGGTGGTTACACACAGATGTTTAGGCACATGTCTGTTTAAAGCCATTCCACCATTTGTTAGTTTGCTTCACTGACAGCCATGCTCAGCATACTGTAATGGGTACTTTTTATTGCAACTGCTCTGTTTTTTGACTCGCTCATGCTAGTGCACTGTGATAAACTTTACAGCCACTGAGTGTTTGATAAATGAGAATAATCTTACAGAACCTTGAAACAAAACACAAGCATAGCTTTAAAGGTCAAACATGGGTTTTAATTCCTAAAAGGATGTAGGAACAATAAATATAGATCAATTTATTATTGTAGGGTCTTTAACTTACAGTACAAAGACCTTGAAGCAACTGCTGTTGTGATTTGGTGTTATATAAATAAAATTCAATTGATTTAAATGAAGTTTTTGAAAGCAGTGTAACTTAAGAATGTTTTCAGTTTTACACTTAGAAGTGTTTTCAGTGCGGTTTACCAGCCAAAAAGATAATTAACAGAAATACTGTTAATGTCAAAGTACGGATATAGTGAAAGACGTCTATATTAACAAATGTTTGCTCCTAAATTTTACATGCTGATAATTTTTGCAAAGTTGTAAAACCAGTGGGGTTTTGGCGCCAGCGCTTGTCTTTGTTCTCATCCTGGGTCGAGTATCTATCACATTTTCCCACGGCTTCTTATATTCCTGTCTGCCAGACACCAATTAGAAACCATGCAGAAATAATCACTGAAGTGTCAGCATTGTTCAGACGATCTTAAAAGCACCGAAAAGCATGCGCTGTGCTGTATGTCACTGTGACCTGCATAACTTACTGCTGGTCAGCATCTGTGTCGACTCACAAATAGCTTTCTGCTCCGAGCCAAGAGGCATTCATCTTGGTTAACAGATGAATGTGTGTGTGTGTAATAGAGATTTGTATATGCATAAAGGTGTGGTACTGTGTGGTACTGCTGTTTCGTGAGAGCAGTGTGGGTGTGTATGTGTGGTGGGCCGAGGCTCTTTAAAGCCGGTGTTAATGTGGTTTTATTCACTTAAATAAACTTTTGAAATAGAAAATATTTCATTTTGCCTGTGGCTTCATGCTAGCTGAGTGATTTTTACTGTTTCAGAGGGCTGTCTCTGACTTTGTAGCATCTGTGATGGACTGCAGGAGAAATGAAGGGTTGAGGAGTGATGAGGATGATGAGGAAGAGAAAGGAAAGCAGAAAGAAGGGGAGGAGCAGGATTTGAGGAAGTGGAAGTGTAGGGGAGCTGAGCTGAGACAGGAAGTACAGATAGGTCCCTTCCTATTATTTCGATTTGGAAACTAAACACTAAAACAATAAAGTGTACATCAGCTGTTTGCTCAGTGTGAAAGAGTGAAGGCTGGAGAAAACCTGCAGTAGTGCCAGAGACATTCTGTAGAAATATGAGACCACGTATTTCAAATGTGGTTCAGCAACTCTGATTATTTGCCATTACACTCTCTCAGTATCATAAAGCACTGATGTGTGGTGTTATTATTAGTTTTATTGTTTTAGCACATCATAGCAAATCATTAGTTCCCGTCATAGATGTGTTTTCAGTTTTTTGCATTCAAACATCACACCTGATTGAGAGTGACACAGTGGTTGCACGTCTTGGAAGATCTCCTTCATGGTTCTGCAGATGAGCGTGTGCACTAACGTCTGCTCAACCTACAACCATGAAGGAGGAAGAATTTGAATAGCTGACCCTCTTTAGACTTTGCAACACTTTTTTGGATCAAAGTGATTAGAAATTATAAACAAGAGTCCTTGCAGGAGTTTCTGACACTCACTAACAACTCCGTATGGAAATGTGGAAGCACGTCGTCACTCATCGTTCATAATGTGATCAATCTGAAATTCATCACAGCTCAAACTTCAAAGTTATGCCTGAAGTTGTAGCTCTTACCAGCTATTGCTATAACTATATAACCTGTTTGAAAGTTGCCTTAAATGTGAGTATTTTATTCAAGAAATGCATTTGTTTTCTTTTTCCTGACATGAAAAGTTTGCACAGATATGTGCTGCAAAAAATGAAGCTGGAGCTACCGGTTGGTGAGATTGCATTAGCCCAAAAACTGCTAGTCTGCTCATTTCTGACTCTGACTATTTTTTATATACCTTTTATTTGTTACAGTATTATTTCTCTCTGCTTTCAGTCTTTTTGCTGTAACCTTGATATTTTGAGCAAATATAACGCTGTTTTCTCAGATTCCTCCTGCATCTCCTCATTAGACACATTACAGGTCTTTAGCATCCGTGGTTTGTTGCTCTAGCTGCAGATATATAAGATGAGACATCCTTTATTTAACTTATATTTGAGACATTCTTGCTGCCAAGAGGTAACCATCCCTACAGAGTCTGCCTCATGAGCTTGACAGGATGACATGAGTTGCAGGTTTGTGATCCATGATTTCTGTCCCACCAGGACATTTGTGTTTTGCATTCTGTTCTCCATTTTTAACTCGCGGATTTTGTTTTTGCTTCACCTTGCTACTTAGATTTGGGCTCTGAAAAAGTACATGTGGCAGTTAGGAAGGTATTCTGGTTTTGACACACATGATACCGATACCCTAGCCTGATGCTTCAAAGGTCAACACCAAAGGATAGCTTGTAAGTACATTCGCCATCCCAGCAGCTTTGACAAGATGAAGTTAATGGACAGCCTTGTCTTATTTTGCCTTTTGAAGGACCTCGTAGTGTTTTCTGGTTTTACACTCTTAACAGAACTACATATTTTCAAACAACTCTTCATTACACAGTTATATCTTTTATATTGTCAGATGTCATCTCCTTCTGTTTTACGTCTGTGTGATGTAATAGGCCACAAACGTCTGCGGTCACATCCACAACTGTCCAGCCTCACAGCGAGGTGGTTGTCAGAGGACTGACTGACTTGGGTCTCTCATTATGTAAAGTACATCACCCACTATTACTAATCGCATAGACATAAAGATGAATGAATAAGGAGCAGCAAAGGAGCTTGCAGTGCAATGTAAACTCAGTTGCAGTGACTGTCTTCCTGTCTTTGGGATAATCGAGGCAGACAAAGAGCACCTTATACGCGCTCGGCTGTACGGTGTGCGTTTTCCACTGCAGCGGCACAGGATGCAAACTCCCATCCTCCTCGTTTGGTTAGACAGACTGAAATATAACACATTTCATAGACAAGAGCTTTCTGTGTCTCTGGGTGTTATCATAAGAAGATATGAGAGGCAGCTGTGTCAAACAGAGCAGGTTTTGTTCTGCCCTTTAAATCATGTGAAATACGTGACTGGAAGAGTTTCTGTAGCAGCTGCTTGATTATTTTCCTTGATCAACTGTAAAATATTAACCGTTTAAAGCCTGAACCATGAAATTACTGCTAGAAAATTCAATTTTGTTAAAAGAAAATCGAGTGTTTATTGAATCTTCTGACAATTAAAACAACAAACTAGATATTCATTTGCATATGTGTTTTAATTTGTGTCATATTTGCTACATATGGCATTTCTTTTGCAATTTATTACTTAGAAATATATTATATATTAGATTTTTTTGGTGGGGAAAAAACACACTGATGATGTAGAAGTCTGAAAAACTCACAAAAACTATTTGTATCTAATATGATATGCTAGGTGTTAATGGGTTAATCTTAAATTATATAATAATAATAGTCTCTTTAGAGAAATAGTTTAGCATTTAATACGTTCCTTTTTCTGAAGTGTGTTTGCCATCTAAGTTAAGTTTAGTTGCAAGTATATTCTTTGATTATATCATTTCAGATGTGACACTTCCATGTAGTGCAGCTGATTTTGTATGAGGTAAAAACTTTGTGTTTTTGGCCAGATATTTTCCCCAAAAAGCAGAGGCCTGTGCACAAACGAGGAAATCAGCCCCATACATCACCACTGGTGACATCAGTACAGTGGACTCTGTGTTTTGTATTATGGGCTCTCAGTGACAGGGTAATAATGTTACCAGCCAGCACAGAGATTTGCGTGCTATTGCATTTTTAAAATCTGGTGTGTGTACACTTCACATTCATCTTGGACTCTCTGACTTCACTCTGAAGAGGTTTTGAGCTTCTACCGTCATTTAGTAGCACGGTATACTGCAGCACGGTGGACACTTGATTTTTGGAGCCAACTTTTCGGGAGTAATGAAACAGTGCTCCTTATGCTTTTACAGTATATTAGCATTATATTAATAATAAAAATAAAGCTGTCATTTATTTTGAAATGTCCAAAATAGGCATTAATTTACCACAAAGACACCGCTTGACTCTGTGCCACAATCTGAGTCATTCTGCGATAACGCCATTTCTAAATTAACTCGGCTGTATAAAAAACAGCTTCCTTGCCGGACACCACATATACCAGTATGTTTACTGTACCAATGCCAGCCAGTTTAGCTACTTGGGAGCTGATTGAATTGACTGGAAGATGACTTTATCAGATGTCAGATGTCTTCTCCGGTCTTTAAAAAGACTCTTTACATCTAAACTTGGTTAAAAAGAACGCTCTTCCTCTCCAGCACCTCTGCATGGTCCTTGTTTGACCAGCAAATCCAAATCCAGAGCTTTCTTCCTTTGCAACAGCGATGCAACTAACCGCTGTCTGTCCTGCCGCTCTGTTTGAGAACAGTAAGTTTTGATTTTCTGGATCCTTGTGCTAATAAGCACACCATGCACTGAAACCCCAGGAAAACAGGGTTATATGTATAAGCATATGTAAATGACACGGACATGTTTATTCCCAAAGAGAACAATAAAACACCAAATATACTTGCATTTGCATTTTGGAAACTGTCTGGTGAGGTGTGATGCAGACGAATATCTAAGATCAAACGTGTGGCCATGACAGACCTTCAGAAATCACGTCTCACAGACGTCTGGTACTTGGTGGGTTTAGAGACCACAACAGCAGCAGCTAATAAAACGGTCTGTTTCTCTATCTGTGTTTGCAGCCACGCAGCCAGTTATGACAGTGACCCCAGCACCCCGATGGTATACAGCTGCAGCACGCAGTACCGCATACACACACATGGAGTCTTCAGGGGAATACAGGTAGGAACCCACACTACTGCTTCTCCTGCATGCGCCTAACTCTTTGTCAAGAGGTCACTCTGAGGTCATGTGTTAAGATCAGAGCGTAGCCACATGCTAGACGATACTGAAAAACACCTGAGGTCACTTTGATAAACGGAAGAGCAAAAACAGACGATTGAGCCAGAGCGTATTTTTCTAATGGGTGGAATGAAGAAGATGAGTGGTGGAGAGTCTGATGCAATGAACAGGCTACGTGAAGAGGACTGATATGCAGCAGAGCACAGATTTACAAACCCATACACACAAATACCTGCGCGTACACACACACACACACACACACACACACACACATTCAGGGGCTCTTATAAGGCGACTTTAAAAGTCAAGAGGAATCTTTTTCCACAAATCCATTAGCAGTGGAGAAACACACACTCAGGGTTACGCTGGGTAACGATGCAGTTTCCATGCAGGGATCAGCATGTTAATAAATCATTAGATTTTAATTATTGTCTGTCAGCTGCTCTAAAGGACAGGGAGCAGGAGATTCTCCAGACCTGCTCTTAGTCCACAACAGGACTTTTTGAGATCTTTCTTTCTGGGGCCTGCTTCATTACTCACTCTGTTCCTTTTCCTTCTCTGAGATCTTGCTCGGTACAAAAGAATAAACAATATCTCACTCCTGTTCCTTTTTAAAGTATAATTTAAGAGCTGCTAAAAAGTGAGATAACAGATTGAGCAGCAAAATGATGCTTTGCTCCATATTTTTATTACAGGGATTACACTAATTCCCAGTCACTGCCAAAGGAAATACAGATGACAGCCGTGGAATTTCACTCTTCATTAATATTACCTCATGGCCTGCAGTCATTATTACACAGAGTGTTAAAAACTAAAGCCTCTGATCAGCTAACTATAACACTTTAGTCTCACAAAGTCGTTGTTGTTGGTCTCACATTAAATCAGCTAAACAGACCTTCAGCAAACACGTTACTTCTTAGATCTGGGTTATTTCGTATGGAGGCCCAGTGTGGTCAAAATTAATTAAACGGATATGTCATTTTAGATCACATTTTAAAAGTAATATACATGACTTAAATGGTAGAAAGACACCTTGAATAATAATATTTAATTATCAATATTTGAAGAAAATAGTTTTTTTATGCTGATATTTGTGTATTTTTTTCATGCTCTTCTATTGCATAAAAGTTTTTCTTGACAGTTTACCTTTTAATCAGCCATGTCCTCTACATCTCTGAAGATTTAACAATATCTACCCAATGTAAGCAGGTAACTCCTTTGAGCCACAGCAAAAACGTTTACCAAAGTTAATGAGGCTACTGCTGTAAATAAACCCACTGCACAGACAGCTTAAACTGTCTAGCTGTGTAACTCGCTATGCAGGGTTGTGAGACTAAATTATAACCCGAAATAAAAATGAAGAATCAGATCTGTAATTCTTAATCCTAAATGTTCATCATCTCAGTGCAGAATCATAAAATGCTGTCAGATTTCATCGAACAAATGTATTTAGTGCTGTATGTTTAACCATATACATATTTTTAAAGCATTTATCCAATATTAAACGCATCAGGACTCCCTACATTAACACATAATAAACTATCAGTGCAAAGAGTTTGTATTGTGTGTCACACACTGTGGATTCTGATCAGTTTACAGCTCATGGTTGTCTCGATGTTCACATGGGCACGGTAGGTGACTCTTAACAGCTCTAATGTTAACAGTTCTAATTAGAACAGGGCTGACCTCTTAATCGCTGGTCATTATGCTAAACGCTGAGGAAATGAAGAGCAGATGCTGCAAACAGGGGAGGAGGAGGAGAGATGGGAGGCAGTGTGGAGGGAAAGAGGGAGAAAAGAGAAAGTGATAAAGGGAAGAATGAGGTGGAGGGGTGTAAAGTGGAAACAGAAGACGGACGGCTAAAGGAAACATGAAGAGTGTGTACTACCGTGTCAATGTAGATTAAATAACCAGCAGGTGAAATGAAACGCCAAGACGTCTGGTAGTGTAAATAAATGTAAACACTGAATTTGTCCCTTTGGCCACGTGTGTTTTCCTGTTTTCTCCTCCGGCTGTGAGCGATGCAGTGGGGGGCACTGTTAGGGGGTCGGTCTAAAAAGCGTGACTAACTGCTCCCTTTGGGCTGCACTCAGCCTGGGGTCATTTTACTGCTAATTCCCATCTAATGAATATATGACCATTTCATCATAATGAACCCCAACATGGAGATCTCATGCACTCATTTACATGCAGGACAGATTTAATTGCCTGTTTTCTAAATGTAATTTAGAAAACAGGCAATTTTTTTTTTTGCTTCGGCTATTGATGTCCTGGGAGAGTTTTTGTTAATTCTGCATTGAGCAGTTTAGCTTTAAATATGTGTGTGTGTGTGTGTGTGTGTGTGTGTGTGTGTGTGTGTGTGTGTGTGTGTGGGTGGGTGCAGGACGTGCGGCGGGTGCCCAGCATCGCTCCAGCCATCGTGCGGTCAGAAAGCAGCGAGAAGCGCCCGTTCATGTGCGCCTACCCAGGATGCAACAAGCGCTACTTCAAGCTCTCCCATCTGCAGATGCACAGCCGCAAACACACAGGTGAAGACGCACGCTCTGCTGACACATTCATCACATGACTGCCGACAGCAGCGGCGTTCTGCACACATTTCCCAGCAGTGCTGTTAACTTCAATAAAGGCTTTCTACTTCGCTTAAGTTTTTAGAGCTTCAGGAGGACAAACTTCTTCAAATGAAGTTTCCATTGGCTCTGATTTCCGTGTCTCCTCTTGCCAGGAAATATTTCCTGTTTGGTGAAATATAGAGAAAGAGATTTTCAGTTGGGTCTGTTGCACAGAAAAGAACCTTTCACTGTGGTGATTTTATTTTCAATGACTCAAAAGTCAAAAACAAAGCCAAACGTGCATGCACTAACAGATGTGAGCCCTTCAGATTTTACATATAATCTCTAAATTACCTAAAACTTTAGAACATGTCACTGTGCATACTCTCAGAATAGCACTAGTTAAAAATAATCAGTGTTATTCTGAGTATATGCTTTTTTTGTTATTATAAACAATAAAACAGCCATAATGAGACCATTAATCTCTTCAATACTATTCATTATTATTATTTATTTATTTATTTTTACAAAGTGTGTTTGAAAATGTATTAAAAAAATGTTGTCCACAACTTACCCTGATATAAATCTTAAAAGCTTTGGTTTTTGTGTTGTGGTTACCTTTGCACACACATTTTATAGCTTAAATAATTATTTTGTTAATTACCCATTAATACATTTTTTAATCGTGTTCTTACTTACTCATTTAGTCTGTTGGATTTCAGGAAATACCCAGAGCCCAAGGTGATCTTTATATGCTGTATGTAGTCGGGTCAAAAGTTTGATCAGAACCAGCAAATTTATTCCTTAATTCTTTTCCCTCAATTTCATCTGATCCTGATTTTTTATTTATCAAGTTATTGACTCTTTTATTGGTTTCTTTTGTTGTTTATTTGCTTGTTTGTTTAATTGCTTATGTGGTTAAATATTGTTGTTCTGCTTTCATGTCAGGCAGCTGCCTGGATCTTTTGCTGCTACCTCTCATTCATTCAGTGTGACTGAACAGTGACTGCGACTATGCAAAATCATATTTTGAGCAACGCGTTTTAATTGGATTGTATTTTTTTTTTTGGAAAAATATGTTTATAAGTGATCTTTGGTAATATGAGTGTTGGTGTTCCTGCATGACTGATCACGTTGCAACAATCAGGTTCAAAGCTGCTGCACAATGTTCTGGACGGGCTGATAAACTGGCCTGTTGGTTTCATCTGTACAGATCCTGCTTTTTTCCATCACTGCAAGAGTGCCCAGCTGTGAGTATGTGATAAAATAAGTTGAAAGGATGTCTAAATTAATCCTCTGTGTTCTTTTTCTTGTCTCTGTCCAGGGGAGAAACCCTACCAGTGTGAGTTCACAGACTGTGGCCGCAGATTTTCGCGCTCTGACCAGCTTAAAAGACACCAGAGGAGGCACACAGGTTTGACCGGTTTTACTCCCGCGGGCTGTCTGACTTCATTTTTTATTTCTTCCTGGCCTTTTGCTCTCTCCCTCTCTCTTCTCGCTCTCCTCTGCTTTTTGCATGACAGCTTTGTTTTTGTTTTGTTTATTTTTAAAGACAGTGCCGTCTTTAAAGTTTTGTGTTCATTGGTGCACTGTACTGAACTCACTTCAGATGAAGTTGCTAAATGCTGGCCAAACTTTGGAATGGCTTCTCTGCAAGCCTTTGCTCTACTGTATTTCTCTATCTCCCTCTGTGTGTGTGTGTGTGTGTGTGATGTTGAATGTGTGTTTTCCGTATGTGTTTATGTGAACTCGTGCTGAATGCGTGTGCATGCTTACTGTACATGTGTTTAGGAGTAAAACCGTTCCAATGCGAGACGTGTCAGAGAAAGTTCTCTCGGTCTGACCACCTTAAGACACACACACGGACTCATACAGGTAAAACAAGTGCGTAAACTTTTATTTTTTCATTTCTTCTTCATCCATTTAATATTTATATACATGTATATTATAGCTGAAAATGTTCATTTTAATTCCTATGAAATAAAAATAATGTTAATAGACTGGTGCTACTATGCATGAAGAGATATAGCAGCAAAATATTCGAAGAAATCCCTGATTTTAAATCCCTCTGGTGCTAATTCTCCCCCTCCTGTCGTTGCCTCACCGTCCTCCACCCACCTCTCTCTCAGGTGAGAAGCCGTTTAACTGCCGGTGGCCTAACTGTCAGAAGAAGTTTGCCCGAAGCGACGAGCTGGTACGACACCACAATATGCACCAGAGGAACCTCACCAAGCTCCAGCTGTCCATCTGAGTGTGTCTCTGCAGCCCGTTTCCAAGACTAAAATATTAACATGTCATTTTGCGTAGCCCAAAACAAAAAAGCCTCCGTGGGAGTCTTAATCTGACATTTAGGACTTAAATTTTACGAGCTACACACCATAGTCTGCACTCTGTGGTGAAATGCAAATCTGTCTAAAATCAAGGAGAATTCTGACAAAGGGGATGTAGTCTTGGAAACTGCAGTATATTACTTAGTTCATCAGTTCAGTTGATCTCAAGGCCAGCTCAGATCAGCTCATACCTTCCTTACCCATTCAGCTGACTCTCTCATTTAAGCTCTCCACTTGCAACATACCTATAACTGTGCTTCACCTTTTATGCTGTATCTGACTTAAGCATCTCATCTTCGTTCTTAAAACCTGCTGTGTCCTGTGAGCATGAAATAGGGAGGTGTCTCAGAACAGTGCCATGCTTCTTATATAAATCACTGCTGATGGAAAGGATAATCTTCTTTTACTGACATGTGTTTTTGCTTCTGTCAAGAAATGCAAAAAAATCCAAAAACAAAATCATCAATGTGTGAAAATCGCAGCGACCTCCCCAAACACCCTCGTGCAGAGTTGCTATGTCATCTGGTAAGATGCTACTTTGGCCAGTCATAGTCCTGGTAGAGTACTCAATGGTTATTTCCCACTGAGGTTTTTTATCTTAAACAAAGTACTTCAAACGCGCTGTTTTCACCAGCACGTCTACATATTTTCATGCTCTCTCTATATTATCATTTCTGCAATATATCTATGTTATTCTGAGCTCCAAACTCACAACATTTGGCCATGTATGTTTTCTTTAAGGTGGAATAACTTCCTAAAACACCTGAGTATTAGCAGGTTTTTCTCAAACAGCAATACGTAGTTCTCAGACTGATGTCTGCTGAGGATCTGGCTCAGCAGCGAGTGTATGAAATTAAATTACTAAAAAATAAAGAAATCTCTGTATGTCGATCTACGCATAGCTTGACAGCTGCTTTCTGTGATAATTTGCAGTGTCACGTTTGAGGTTGTTTGGATGTTTCAGCCTCATATATTAGCTAAAAGTTGCTGCCTGCTCCACTCGGTGTCTAAAGAGGAGGTCCACATATACATGGCTAACATAAATCTAATCCAAAGCCCTTTTACCTCCAGCCTTCACAGTCAAGTACCAAACGTTTGCCCTAATTCTAACTATACCTCTAAAACTCGGACTCAGAAAAAGTGTGAACGGTGCAAAAAAATAAAAATCCTTCATCACACTGTTGGTCTTAAAATGCTTCTCACAAAGATAGCTCTATTTTCTATGGTTTCCAGTCACAGATGACTTCTGTGTTTGGAGGAGGAGCTCCAACCTGCCACACTCACACACACACACACACCTTCAGCGAGTGTATCCTTGTAGCTGTTCTCAGTAACTTCATGGCTGTGACGCCTTTAGGGGACGTTCGTAAACTGTAGCCATAAAAAAATAACCCGTGTTGCACTCTCTCCAAACGGGCGCTAATTATGGCGCATGCTAGTCAGTGCAATGCTGGTATTTTTTAATTATTGTGGCCTAATTATTGTGACACAGAGGAGTAATGTTTGAGTGCAGCCTGCTTCCCCAGATGATGGTGTTTTTTATGGGATTTGTTGACAGTAAATAACATACATAATCAGTTTTACATAGATTCTCTGTACCCATGTTTCAGGAGAACCAAGAAGAGATAACAAAAACAAAAAGCTTCACCTGATAGTTTTTCTTGAAAGTAAAACGTGTTTCCACCTGCATAAAATATCATTTCAGGCAAACATTGGGTGTAAATGTTCTAAAAATGTATGCAAATCTTTCATTTTACATTTCCATGGCCAGGATGTGTTCCAGAGGACGCCAGATCTTAACTGTTCAATGCTGCAGAGTGAGGTCAAAGGTTATAGTCAGCGGCCTACAAACCTACAGCTTAGCGCCTTTTCAGCTGTTGTAAATATTTCTTTTGCAAAACTACTTTAAGAAGGCGCACATGTTACCATTTTGCATATAAAACCTGCTTTCACTGGACGGATTAAATGCAGAGAGAGAGATTTTTTTTAATCGTCCTTTTAACAATAAGCTGCTTTTAATCTGAAAGAATCAAATCAAGAGAATAACTTGCAGCTTTGCAGCACTCGCTCTGTGAAAGCTTTTGGTGTTTTGTCTGGTCTGCATAAAATATCTCGTTGCCACAAACATGACTTTACGGCTGTATTTAAAAAGCTGAACTTTTTTGTTGTTGTTGTTGTTGATTAATGTGACTTTTTTTTCTTGGAGCTCAGTTGTCTCTTGTCCCTGTGGTGTGTAAATATTGCTGGACTTTGGCAGTGTTTTCAGCACTGCGAGCTTTAAAATATGTCTGCCGGGTCACACTGGCTCTGTGGCCGAGACATTATGGTCAAGATGTAAATAATACTTCTTCATCATGGGAACTGAACTGTTTTCATAGGGGGAAAGATGTAAATTAACTGATATATATTAGACTTCTCTTTGGATGAATCGAGAAACTGTTTATATTTTTCTTTCTTTTCTTTGAAGTGTATTAATATTGGAGTCATAAAACAGAAAATGTCAGTGAAACATTTTGTACTCAAAGTGTGAGATTGAAAATTTCTCTCTGTTTAAATGTCTTGTGACTGTTTTGATACAGTAAGATTTGGCCTCTGTGGTTGTTTTTTGTCATTTTGTGTCCAATTTCTGCTGTGGTATTATCTCACAGAGAATAATCTACAAGTCTTTTTTTAAAACATTAGTTGTAGAAAGACCCAAAAGACTTAAAGTGAAATATGTGCAAAATCTAAGACTATACATTAGCTGACCTTGACCGGGGTTTCCTCCCAGAGCACACAAGAGACCTGTTTCTTCTTCCCTACATACATCCTGCCCTGTTTGTGGCTAAAAGAACACTTTTAAACTTAAAATTTAATGAATGAAACATTATGGAGTGTACGCGCTCCAGCTGACGCAGACTTGCACAATAAGAAAACACACACACAGTACAGTACAGTACCATCCACCTTCCTTTCTTTATCTCTCACCAGATTCCTGGTTGCATTCCTTGACTCTCAGTGAAAAAAAGAAGAAGCAGCCAGATAAAAATGAACGTGTTT